CTGGCATTTTCACAGCACCACAGCTACCTGATGGCATCTGTGTTTCACAGCAGAAGGCGCGGAGGCAGAGGGAGCTGAGCTGAAGCGACCTACCCAAGGTCACCTGTCTAGGAAGTAGCAGAGCTGTGTTTCCAACCCCAGTCTCCCGATGCTGATTCACAGCCCTCTGTAGGTTTTCATGTTTCTCCTCTCTGACCCTCTGGAAAAAGGATGCATCGAAGGACATAATGTTTTGCTCCTTTGTTTTTGTGTTACATAAGTAAGGAAAAATTTCCTGTGACTTTACAAGTTTCTCTGTCTCTCCAGTGTCTTGAATTTGGTCCCTACACAGACTGGCCTCTTGCTCACACACTCTGCTAATTCACAGGACTGCCTTCCATTTCAACGGTTACCTCACCTTGCAGTGAGCCAAAGAGGTTTACCCTGGAAATCTTCACCCTCGTTCCTCTCTTTCTGGGAACTAGAGAAAGTTCATTTCTGAGCCTGCAGAGTTTTTAAGAGCACCTCCAGTTTCTCCTTAGCTCCTTCCCACAGAGCCCGGAACCTGCTGTTAGCTGCTCTGGTGAAAAATCCCCTTTTCTTCTCCCTGGGAGGAGTAGGCACTCTTCCAATTTCTACAAGCTGGTGGCAGGAGGGCTGGCATTCTCTCTCCCCTGCCTCATCAACACTTAATCCATCTTCCTGGCTCTACCCACCCCTGAATTCGAAAAATGAAGTCAAAAACATAAAGGCGCATCCTTTCTGTGTGCCTGCTATTTTCAAGGGGCTACAATAGTGATAGCTACCATTCAGGTACCCGCAGCGTGCTAAGTGGGGGCACTCTTCATGTCATCTCTGATACTCACAGCTACCCTATAACGGTGGACATGATTGTTTCCAGGCTACAGATGAGGAAACTGAAGCACAGATAGGGTAAATTACTCCCTCAAAGTCACACAGTTAGTAAGTGGGAGTACATGGGTAGGCAGAGATTTGAACTCTACCATCTCTGCCTCCAAAGCCTATGCACTTTTCCACTATCCCCTGCTGCCTTCCTCAGGAAGGAGGTGAGAGATGGCATCAGAGACCCTTCCAATGATGAGCATGCCCTGTTTCCATTTTGCAACTCCTCTCCTGTCTGTGTGACACCACACAGGCATAGCCTATCCACTTTGCCTCCTGTAAAGGTTTCAACTTTTTAAGTTAAATGAATTCAGATACAAAAAAATATTTACATCTCTCTTTCCTTCTGCTGCAAATATAGGGACCCCGGCAGGAGGCTGGGCATGCCAAGGCAGGAGGCTGCCATGCAGGCCTCTCTGATTTCAGTTCTGGCGTCACTGAGTCAGAGCCTGGGAAGCCCTCCCTCACCAAGGGGAGCTTCAGGCTAAGCCGCAGGGTCAGTGCTCTCCCATTCCAAACTCAACCCTGTTCAGCTACTCCCACCCTGGTGTAAACCCCCGAATCAGCCAGCCAGCACGTGACCATGCACGTCTCTCTGCCTGCCACAATCTCCAAGAGACAACCTTGCTCTCAGACCCAGACCGGGTGTGGGGTATCCAACAGTGGCTCTGGGCATGAGGACAGGACGTGGGAACAGCAGGTGCTCCGCCTCTGGGCACGTGGCCACCCAGTCCAGCTTCACCCAGCACAACTCGTTTTTCAAATGTCCTAGTTTCAGCCTCCCTTCCTGCAACCCAGGCCAAATTGTCCACCCCCAGATTTCTGTCCCCTGCTCATGGGGCTTGGCGGGGCCTGCTGGGGGCTGACGTGAGCCAGAATAACTGCGAAGGCAGGAGACGAAGGGGGTGTGAGCCGCCTTTTGGGATCTGTGCCCCGTCTCATGCACAAACACCCCCTGCCTGCCAGGCAGACCCATTCTTTTCACTGTGGGCCTCAGGAACAGAGAGTACAGGGCTGACCCTGTTTGTAAAACTAGGGATGGTGAGGCAGGAATCCAGCAGAAGGATGGGGCCAGTTTCCAGTCCTCGAGAAGGGGCTCAAACACGAAATTCGTGGGGAGCTTGTTGCCTCCCTTCTCAGAACCCTTGGATACCCCACAGCCTGCTCTCTTTACAGTGCCACCTAGGGAGCAAGAATTAGCTGCAGAGTGCTGGGAGAACCCCCAAACCAAATACAGATCCCTCATCCCGTCCCTTCGTGGCCAGTTGAGGTGTGTGTCGCTTGGTCAGTTACTAGTATAGCACCTACTATATGAAGGCTTCCTGTTGGGGAGAGGGGGTCAGAGTGCAAGACATGGCAAGTGAGCAAGTTCCCCATCTAGTTGGGAAGTCATGCGCCACATACAACAGAATTCATTGCCAAGTGAATGTGTCCATCAGCAAGAAGGATCCATCCAGCGAGCACCAGGCACTGAACCCTGGGCTGGGGTTTCAAAGAAAAGACAGATAATTCCTGCACTCAAGAAACACAGATGATCACAACGTGACGTGATCTGTATCCAAGACAGGTAGGAAGTGCAGGGGGTGAAGCTTCCAGATCAGGGAAGGTTGCCAGGAGTCCACCCCCAGGCCATCCGTGGGACATCACTCTAGCCTGTGCCTGATTTAAACCCTGCCTCAAACTAGCCCCTAAACCCAAATATGCTGCCCAGCCGAAGTTAAACAGCTCACCCTTTCTTCTCCTCGATTCTGATGACAAGTCTGCATGTTTAAGTTTCCTTTTGGGCTTTTCTATTTATGTTGTCATTGATTACTTTGCTCCTAACTCATCTGATTTCAATTTGGACTGATTTGATCCTAATTTTATTACCATGTAATCTGAATGCACATAATTACTGTAATTATGCTGCTGAGGGAAACAGCTCCTGCATGGTGGGAAGACCTAAATTTAGGGCTTCCTGGCAAGGGCGGCCGTTGGCTGGGTGGACCCACAGCTACCTCAGAGCTGGCAGCCTTGAGGGGCACAGATGCCCTCCCCTGCAACACCCCCTCAGAGATGGGTATTTTGGGCTTCATCTCAGAGATGAGCTTGAGGCCCCTCTCAGAAGCCCAGGGAGCAAGCAGCGGCCTGAGTTGGGGTGCAGAGCCCACCCGCTCTGCACACTCTGGCTCATATCTCCATCCTCTGCTGCATGTGCTCAGCACCCATGGGCCGCCCGCATCTAAAGTGCTTGCTCACAAGGTCTCCCTACCTCTGGGTGCCAACTGTCTTCCCCAAAAGACCTGGGAACCAAGGGTTCCCTGATACTCATGAGGCGGGGGAAAGCAAAGGCCTGGCTCTGGCCCTCCTGTATCCTCCCTTGCCCTCTGAGTCCAGTCTGAGGCTGCCTCCTCCATGATGCCTCCCTGACCTGTCCAGCCCTCTCCCTACTTGGTCATTTATGTCCCACCTGAGGAGACTTATGACTTACTGTTTCCATTTTACAGATGGGAAAACTGAGGCACAGTGAGGTTAGGTGTCTTACTCTAGAGTACCCAGTGGGTGGGCAGTGAAACTCTTAACTACCTCATTACACTGCTCCTTCCAAAAGCCCAGAGCCTATTACAGGATTGATCTCATGTAATTCTCCCCAACCTAAACGACAGCATAAAGAACACGAGCCAGATGCCACACTTTCCCCTCCTCCTGATCAGCCAGAGGGGATGGGGCACTGCAGACACAGAGATCTGAGAACCAGGTGGAAAAGGGGACAGGTGCTCTTTTCACCCAGCTTCTTTGTGCTTGGGAGGACTGACTCCCTGGAGCAGAGACAAGGCGAGCCCTGCTGCGATGACGAGGAGGGGACCCAGCAGAGGGATGGGGCCAGTTTCTAATCCTAGGGAAGAAAGGTTGGAACATGGAATTTGTGGAAGGCTCATTGCCTCCCTCCCCAGAATCCATGATTTGTTTGTGTACAGGAGGGAAAGTGGCAAGAAGAGTTGTAAAGGTTGCTAATTATGAAGCACCTGCTGTATGCACCCAGAGCCTGGCCCCTGCTGCCTTAGAACAAGCTGGGCACACAATGGTGAGGGGGTGGCTGAAGGTGTCAGGCCAACAGGAAGACAGGGAGGCCATCTCCAGGGGAAGTGCCCACTTTAGGAGACCCTGGGCCCAGAGAGCAGATGAAAGAACTGGGGACATGCGGGTGCGGAAGGGCCTGATAGCCACCGTGTGGGAGGGAGGATGCACTTGCGCTGTGTTGCTTGAGAGGGTAGAAATAGGAGGCTGAAATCAGCAAGCTGACTGGGACTGAAGAAAGCAAAGATTGTCCAGAAGTGAGCCCCTAGTTGGAACAGATACCTGCGCAGAGGCCCCACTGCTGGGGCCCAGTGCCGTGGCCCAAGAGCCCCCATAGGCCTGGAGCAGCCTCTGAGCAGACCCGGGGCAGGAGGACCACAGCAAGGCGGGGGACCTGGGCTCCTGGCCCTGTTCTCCTTCACTACTTCAAGCTGCTGATCTCATGGGGGTCTTTAGGTGCCTGCAGTAAAGGCCTCCAACTGGGGAGCGGGCATACCTGGAGCCATAGCCTCCTAACAATTCAGCTGCCTCTGCAGAGAGCAGTAAGCAAGCAGCGGAGCACAGGGCAGGGCCCTGGAGGGCTAGAACCAAGAGGAAGGAGAGGGGCTTACAGAAAAGACCACCTTCCCATGTCGCCAAGAGCAGCTCTGCCCCAAGAATCGTGCCCTGCACCCCTTGGAGATTAGATGCTAAGATCATCTGAAGCCTCAGAAATGATGGGGCTGGTCCAGGTAACTCAAGGTCTTACCTACTACCCTGCTGCTGGGCAGGTGGGGGGCACCTCTACTTCCCTATATTTCACTCTCTGGAGGCCACAGTTCAAGGCTGAACCGCAAACCAGACACCATCCTGAGTCAGGGGACCCTGCCTTGGAGATGGAGGCTGGTGGCTTCTCAGAGACTTTCTCCCTGCCCAGGCCCATCTGCCTGATAGCTCCCATCCTCTCCACCTTCCACATGCACCCTCACATACATGCCAAGACGTGCACACCCCACTCATAGTCAGCTGTTGCCACCCTCCCCACAGAAGGCCTCTGGGCCCTGCCCTCACAGCTCACTCACCCAGTGAAGGGACCCGATGCAGACCTTCGCGGCCATCAGGGGCACAGTGGGGTCCGAGGGCCTCAACTTCACACACTCCCGCAGCAGGGACACGGCGTAGGCTGACTGCAGAAAAAACAGCAGGAAACACTGTCACTCACAGCCCTGGATCTCAAGGGCCCACAGTGGGGCGAGATCCCCAAACAACCAAGCCTTGCTCTGTATCCCTTTGCTCTCAGGAGCCAGGAAGAGGGCCAGGGCAGAGAAATCCCTCCCTGGGCCTCAGTTTCCTCATCTGAAGATTAGAAGCTGTCACTCTTGCTCCTTAGGTAACAAGATGACCGCTAACATGACAACAAATGGAAGCTCTCCAAAAGGAATTCAAATTTCAAGGACAGAAATTTTAGAGGTAGAAAGGGGCTCTCTAAATGAGGGCTGGGCACAGTGGCTCACACCTGCAATCCCAGCACTTTGGGAGACTGAGGCAGGCTGATCACTTGACCTTGGGATTTGAGACCAGCCTGGCCAACATGGTGAAACCCCGTCTCTACTAAAAAGAAAAAAATCAGCCGGCTGTGGAGGTGTGTGTCCACACCCGGCTACTCGGGAGGCTGAGACACAAGAATTGCCTGAACCCAAGAGGTGGAAGTTGCAGGGAGCCGAGATTGTGCCACCACACTCTAGCCTGGGTGACACAGTGAGACTGTGTCTCAAAAAATAATAATAAAATAATAATAAAAATAATAAATAAGGACTCCGGAGGCATGGCCAATGGCAGGGGTTGGGGGTCGTATAAAGGCTGGCGGAGAGGAAGCGGAGATATTCTAAACTGGCAGAGCCCGAGAGAACCTCCAGACAGGAATCTGAGGATCCCCCCAGGCTTCAGGGCTCAGACTGGACGTGCTGAGGACAGCCAAGTGTGAAGGAGGGCTGAGGTGGTGGGCAGCCACGGCCAGACAGGGATGTTACCAATAACAGTAATGAGAAGAACAGCAGCAGCAAACACTTATCTAGATCTTGGGATATGCAGGCATTGTCCTAAGTCTGGGGTTGACAAAACACAGTTAACAGGCCAAATCTGGCACTCTATTTTTGTAAATAAAGTTTTACTGGAACACAGCCATGTGCATTCATTTACATACTGTCTATGGCTGTTTTCCTGATACGGTAGCAGAGTGGAATAGTTGCAAAAGACTATTGGGCCTGCAGAGTCAAAACCGTCTACTATCTGACCCATTACAGAAAAGAGGTTGGAGAACCCTGTTCTAAGTGCATTTTAAATACCAAGTGATTTAATTTTTACGCAGTCTTATGATGTAGATACTCTGACTTTACTTGGTACAGGTGGGAAAACTGAAATGCAAAGTTAGGTAGCTTGTTCAAAGCCACACAGCCTATGAATGGCTGAGCTGAGGTTTGAACGTAGCCTGGCTCTAACCACTACCCTACACTGCCTCTATGATGACCACTGTGGCCAGAAAGGAGGCCTGTTTCCTGTTTCCCTGCCCACCGCCCCCCCCCCCCAAACCCACCCACACACACCCACACACACCCTCTCTCTCTCTCTCTCTCTCTGGGCTGGAACCTTTTCCAGGAAACTCAGCAGTAATCCTCCCAGTGTGTACACCCCTGTACCTGTGTGACCTCCAGGTTTGCAGGTACCTGTGTGTAACTATGACAATTCCCATGTACTGGGCCCTACTGTGGGCCAAGCAATCCCCCATTAATTAGCTCTCATATCCCCCCAGCTCTGGAGGTGCAGAAGGAAACGGAGGCTCTGGGAGGCTCCCCTGTCCACAGCAGGGTATGAGCAACTGGCAGGTGCACAGCTAGGATCTGAATGGTCTGTGTCCACCCTGGACACCCCGCCTCTCTCCAGCTGGCCTCCCATTTTCCCCGCCATCTAAGGAAGAGCTTTTCTCAACCCAGACGTGATAGATTTCCCTGGGCTTTGACTCAGACTTATTAGGTCAATGGCAGGTGTCTTTGCCAAGGGTATGCTCTGAACCCAGTACTGGGCTAGGGGTTGTGGGGTCACTCAGGAAAGGGGATGAGGCCATGGCTCTTTCCTCAAAGGACCCCACAGAAAGGGTGGGAGAGACAACAAAGGCCACCACCCCCATGGCTCTCTCTGGAAACAAGAGGGTAGGAGGCCAAGCACAAAAGGGTGTTAGCAGGGGACCGGCTCCTGCAGGCTGGGAGACTCTACAGCGTACCCAGTGTGGACGGGTGCCAGCGGGTATGAGGGGCTTGAAGGCACTGTCAGGCTATCTACCTCCTCCTGAGACCCTGCCCTGGGAACACCACTCCAAGTCCCTCCCCAGACCCTCCATCCACACCCTAGCAAGCCTCAGGCTTCTCAGCCTCCTTCTCATGGCTGCTAAACTCTGGATCCTTGCCATACAGGGTTCGCTAACCCTGACCCTCTGCATTCCACCCCCTTCCACCCCACCCCCATGTACACCAAAAAACGCTGCTATTTAAGGAGCCATCTGAGGACTCAGCAGCCGGAGCAGCAGCTTTTTTTTTGTCATGCTGGTTACCTAGCAACACAGCCAATGCAACTGCCGCACAGAGACCAAGAAAAGGAACGACCTAAATCACGCCACGGAACTCATCCATTATTCCTGCAGGTTCAACTGCCCAGACTCACCTTCTGGAAGGCCTTTCGGGCACAATCACAGATACAGGCCCTCGATTCCACCTTACGCTTTCAGCAAAGGCAAGGTCTGGCCACCCCTGAGGGCTGCCTGGGACAATCAGGCAGACTGATTTGGTGGGCAGGGTTCCCAAGGCGGGTGGAGAATGCTCTCCAGAACAATCTCCTGCTACGCCGAACGCACAGTGTCTCCAGCCCATGGAGCCTCATGCATGAGGAACTGGCCAATCTCAACTCCCTGATGCAAGCCCACTCCCGGGGCCACCTTGCTGGTCTGTGAAGGAGCCAAGTCATGAAACCAGCTCCCTAGATGCTGGGATGGTGCCAGGCTGTGTCTGGATCTCTCTGAGTCCAGCTAGTCAGAGGCAGAAGACTCCTTACCTCCCAGGCTATCACGACACCTTTGACTGACTGGAGAGCTTCTAGGAGCCTCTCTCAGATTTAAAGCTAACTTGCATGTGCAGTCAATTTTTCTGAGCAGAAGTCCTCAGCTTCTCTTACCTCCTGAAAGGGGTCCATGACCCACAGAAGGGTTCGAATCACTGCTCTGGCCCTAGGCCTCTCCCACCTGTACTCACTGTCCCAAGATTAGACGGGTTTTCTGTGTTTCCCAGAAGTAGGAAGAACAGGCCCATGCCACTGTGAGCTGTCTGCCCAGGCTCCCTGGAAGCTCCAGCCCCACCTCCTCCTGGCCCTGTCCCTACTACCCCAGGCTGACCGCTGCCTTCAATACCTTCCTGTCCCCATCCCCACTGCCAGTTCATCTTTTCCACCCCCTCCACCATTGCCCACGTTGTCTCCTTTGCCTGCAGTTCTGTAGGAGGGTTTCTCTCACTCCTTAACCCTTGAAGGGTCAGGGCCTTGCCCGTGTTCTGAATTCTCCCCGAGCCTCAACAAGACCCTGTTAAGCACAAAGCCAGGGAGATCATGCTGTGACTTCAAGATGTTCTGCGAGGTGTCCGGCGTGATGGGGGAGAGTATAGAGGTTTGGGAAGACACATGCACAGCAGATGGGGACAGGGAAGGCTCCCCAAAAAGCCTCTCCCCACAGTCAGGCTGTAGCACCTGCTCCTCTTCCCCCTCCCTGCCAGGACCTGGCCTGCCTCGGCTGCTGAGGCCCCGAGCTGGCTGGCACACCCTTCGTGCGTGGAGGAGGCACTGGCAAGCTGGGAGGGCCCTCCTGAGAGACGGCTGCGGGGCCAGAAATGGAACGTGGCACAGATGGGCCAGGGGGGCGAGGAATTCCCTCAGCCCCATGAAAGGGCTTTGGATATTTACAGCTCCTGGAACAATCTGCAAGCTCATGCCACCTTATTTCCTGCATTCATAGCATCCTCAGCCCCAACACCCTCAGAACTCAGCTCCAGAAAGGTTTTCCTTTCATGTCACTGCTTAAAATAGAGGCTTATGTAAGTATAATTCTGATCGGAGCAGAAAGCAGGGGTGACGGCACCGGAGCTGGGTGGATAGAGAGCGAACTCATGCCCGGTGCTCCTTGCTCTGGGCAGCATCCTGCCGGGTCCTGTCCCCATCCAGGTGCTCCTGGCCCCATGCATCATGCAGTACTCCCTCCAAACTCCCTTGTGGGTGCTGCTGCTCTGCTCCACCCTTTAAGCTTCCCCTCTGAGGCAAGTCTCCAGTCCACAAGCAGGCCATTTCCTGACGCCATGCTCAGTGGACAGGATGAGAGCTACAGCCCACATGAACAACGTTCCCTCCCCTCGATACACCTCATGTCCGCCACATGCCGTCACATTATTAGCTCTTCAGCACAGAGGTTACAGTGCTCCCGTGCATGTACGCACGCGCAGAGAAAAGCATCCAGAGACTCACACCTGCACACCGGCACACTCATAGCTCACATGTGGACAGGAATTCACACAAGGTGTCTGTGTAGCCCACCCCACGCCCCTCACTCTCCTGGAGGTTCAAACCAGCTGCAGGATAGTCCCCACCCTCTCCCCTGGCCAGAAAACCCCTCCGTCCACCTCAGCAGAGCCCCCTGAGGGTGAGTGTACAACCCCTAGCACCCCCTGGACCTTACCTTCCCACAAGCCACCATGGAGAGGGCCACCTGGTACCAAAGGTGAAATTCTCCAAACGCAAACTTCATGGCTCGCTCCAGGCACTGGGGAGGGGAGATAGTCAGCATTTACTCACCAGGGGTCCTCACACCCCAGCCACCCACACCCTTCCAGGGTAGTCACTGCCCAAGTCACTGCCTTTGGGAGGCTGCAGGAGGCCCGCACTTGGCTCCTGGGAGACACCCTGCAGAAACCCAGTTCCTGCCTCTGGCATGCTGTGTGACCCTGCTCAAGTCTCCCACCCTCTCAGTTCACCTCCTTAACATGTGAATGATCTCACAGGGTGATACCAAAGAGCAAATGGAGTAAGATTTGTGAAAGTGCTTTCAAAACATAGACATGCAATAAAAATAGCAGGGAACATTTATTATTACTGTGCATGGCGCTGTTCTCAGCCTTTCACATGCACTCTCCCCAACAACCTTGTGAGGTGGGTTCTCTAACTGCCCATATTTCACCAGTGAGGAAGCTGAGACTTGTACAACTTGCCAAGGTCAAAGCGGCAGAGCAGCCTGGCAGGGGAGGGACAGGTGAAGGGACAAATGGCTCCATCTGATTTCCTTTACAGACTGCCTGACTCTGGGGAGTGGGATGGGCTGCATGGCCGGCCGTACCTCAGAGAGCATGACATACTGTCCCCTTCTGCCCAACGTGATGCTCAGGAGGTCATAGATGGCTGCAGCATTCTGCAAGCTCACTGCCCGGTCCTCCTCCTGCTCTGGCACCCGGCTCAGCACCACGTCTCGAGTGGCCTGTGGGTGGGACATTGTTTGGGTAAGAGTGAGGACAGCAGATAAGTAGGTGTCCGTCTTCGAGGGGCCCCCACCTTGCTGGCCCAGACACTATCACCTTTTTGCCACTGACCCAGACCAGAAAGACGGCCATGCTCTCAGAAACGGCTTTTTCTCATCTCCACAAAGGCTCTCTCCAAGACAGAAAATCTTCCACCTTTAGCCCAGGTTGGGTGAGGGAGCAGTTCTGAGGGGTCAAGCTTCTGGTATTAAATTTGTTATTCTACAAAATTTCAAGCCTACAGAAAAGCTGCAAGAACAGTCTCATAACCGAAAACCCTTCCTCAATGTTCCTCTCTCTATAGAATTATTATTGCCCTTTATAGTCAGTTACTTTTTCTCATTCCAGGATCCAGTACAGGATGATACCTTGTATTTGGGTGCCATGTCTCTTTAATCTCCTTGCATCCGGAAGAGGCCCTCCACCTTTCTCTCATGACACTGGCATTTTTGAGGAGCACAGGCCAGTCATTTTATGGAACAGTCCCTGGTGTGTTTGCAATTCTCACAATTACAGCAAGAGTTTCGGCTAAGATGTGAAAATGCCTGGATCGGGTAGGTGGCTCTGCTGCTTGACGCTTGGTGGGGAGGTTGGGCTGTGGCCCCCAGTGCCCTCTTCTCTTCCTCTTCAGTCTTTCAAGTAGCTTTGACAAGGACATTCCCAGAGCCCCCCTTCCCTTCCCCTCTGTGTCCAGCCTGGACCCTCTCCAGGCTCCTTCCAACCATGGAAACTCTCCTCCGTCCCTCCCCAGGGAGAGCTTCCCCACACTCAAGAACTCCGCTCTTGGCATCCAGCGCCAAGGATTTCAGTAGCTCACAGAGTTGCCAGATGGCTGCTGGGGGTGGGGGTAGGAGAGGGAAATGTGCTGTATGAGTGGGAAATTCTGCCTAATTCCAAGAGGGGAGCTCCTCATCACCAAGCCAGAAGCCCCCCATCAAGGATGTGGGACTCTTTTGTTCTTTGGTCTGTGCAGGTGGTCCCACCCCTCTACCCACCTCTATACCCTGGGGACAACACGCGGGCTGGGGGCAAAAGAGACAGGGTGGAAGGGGAGAGGCTCCCCCACTGCAGGGGTCATGGGCGCCTCCGAGCAGCCACAGGGCAGGGATTTAGGCAGAGGACACTCTGGGGCCAGAAACAATCACATCCCCATCCCCACTCCAAGGGCTGAGCGGGAGCTGGGCAGAGCTGCACTCTGGGCAGATGCTGCTGCTGGCTGCCCCCAGCATTCTCCCTTCTCCTGCCCATTCCCCTCTGCCAAATGGGGCTCTCTCCTGCATCTCCCTCCCTCTGTCTGAGTCTCCTTCTGTGCAATGGGACTTGCTCTCCTCTGCTTCCATACACAGGACCTCAAGACCAAGAACTCAGCCTTCCTAACAGAATAAAAAGGAGCTGCCAGCCCTAAAAACCCAGATCTCCCTCATCAGAGCCACCCCATCCCTCCTGTGCAGCAAGTGGGCCTCATAGCTTCCCTTGAGCAGGACTGCTCCCCTCCTCCAGGTGAGGGGCTGGAGGCAGAAGCCCAAGCCCCTGAGGCCTCCAGACCACAGGCTCTGGGTGTGTCCCGCAGTGCAGGACTGGAGTGTGTCCTCCTAGAGGCCTCCGGAAGCCAAAACACCTCCAAGACCCAAGGAGGTGACTCACTCTGGGGGACAGCTTGGTCACTGAGAGACTGGTGGTCAGGGGTTCTGATGGCTGCCCCGTTGCCACAGTTGGTGAGTGCTGCCCATGCCCTCATGGACTCAGATGGCCCAGGAGAGGGTGCCGGGATGCCCGGAAATCCCGGCAAGGCTGAGTTCTGGAGTCAGCCTGCGGAACAGGAGCCACTCAGGAGCTCCAAAGGGTTGAAGGAGAGGAGTGGAGAAAGAAGGTGCCAAGAAATCCCCCTCCTTCCCAGTGAAGTCCACCCACACAGCCACCAACAGGAAGAGAGAAGAAATTCTAGGGAGAGGGTTGGCAGGAGCTAGTCCCCTGAGCCAACTAGGAATACAGCCCTTGTTCTATCCCTGGCAATGTACCGCCCCACTTTGCCACCTCCAGTAGCTCCCCAGCTCTGGCCATCCCGGGTGGTGACCCACAGGGGTGGCCTCCACCAGGCAGGAGTGGCTTGGGAGTGAGAGGATGGGGCACAGAGGCTCTGTCTGTGGGGAGAACAGGAAGGAGCAGCAGTACAGAATGCACATCCCCGAGTGGAAGCTGACCTGGAATTCTGGTGGGAGTGAGAGGTTCTGATGGGAGGGAGTGGGGACAGGTAGTCTGCAGGGGTGGGAAGCAGCTTGGCTGGACACATCCAGGGTCTGGGGACCCGCCTGCCTGCCCGTGCAGACCCGTCTTGTTCAGGGGATAGTGGGCCGCGAGCCATCACTATGGCCATCGGGATAAAGTCTAAACTCCTTTCTGGAGCTGCCTAACCGGCCAGCTTCTCTCCAGTGACATGGAACCCCTTGCTGGTCCCTATAGTCACCATGGCCCATCTTCGGTCATGCTGCAGTTCCCTCTGTCAACCTGGACACCTTCTAGCTCCTCAAAACTCCATTCAGGACCACCTTCTTACAGCACCATCCCTGACTCATCTCACCAGGAGAGGTCAGGCCTCTCCTGTCCTCCCCCCACCCAGCCCATACCTCAGCCCATACGCCCCGATCTGGTTCACCAGTTCTTGCTCACGGCTAGACTCCTGGCCCCAGGCACAGTCGCACACACAGAACTTGACTCAACCTGCCTTCGCAGGGTGTGACACTCAGGAGAGAAAGATTCTGGGCCTGGAGTGGAAACCTCCCCCTGTCCACCCTAGACCTTGACCTTTAAGACAACAGTGTCTGAATTTGTGTCTGGCAGAGGGAGGGGTGAATTTTCAGAACTGGGCGTTAATTAGGTCAGAAGAATAGGAACAGAAGAGAGGATCAGTCTAGCAGTAGCGGCAGCAGCAGCAGCACAAATCCTCAGGCTGGTGATAGGCCCTCAATAGGCAGACAGCCAGGAAGGCTCCTTGGGGGTCCTAGGGACTTGTGCGAACTGGGGCCTGTGCAAGAGAGGGCTGTGATTCCCCAGCCAGAAGTGGAAGTGGGCTGAGTGGTTACTATGGCTTTGGGGCAGGGCCAAAGTGAAATAGTCCTGGTGGTTGCTGGGCAGTGCCTGTGTGTGTAACCATGGCAACAGGGCGGGGTAGGGGGAAATGGGACAGAGAAAAGGCAGGCGTGGGGGCTGGTGGGTAAGCCACAGCAGAATAAAATTCATGTGCAGCTCAGGGGCCAGGGCCTCAGACACTATGGGAGCATCAGTGCCCTCCCAGCACCCCCAGCTGTCCTGCTCCCTCCTCCCTGGCTCACTGCCCTGAGGCCACATGGTGTACCGCCATGCTCTGGCAGTAGCTCTGACCTAGTCCCAGCTACATTCTTTCCCTTCCACCATTGAGGTGGCCTCAGACCTGCTTTCATTAGAATATCCTCTAGATCAAATGCAGTAACAGATGTGAATGCACTTGTGACCTTTAAAGTAATACATGAACGCTAAATCTTCTCACCGTCTCTTTCTCACTGTTCTTAGAATATGGCAGAATATTCTCCTCTGGTTTCTCCCTGCCTAGTGTGCACTGCCATAATCCCCACACCCACCCCAAGGCTGCCTGGTGCTGGGGATGCACTGCTCTGTTTAATCCATGCATTTAATCCCAGGATTTAAATCTAGCGCTTGTGTAGTTGTCCTGCTCCTGGTCTTTGTCCTTCTGGCTGTTCTCCTAGGGTAGCCCCTCCTAGACTAAAGAACATTCACTGCAAGCCCTCTGGCAGGTCAGAAGAGGAGAAGCCAAAGAAACCACGCTAGTCCCCATACACCCATCACCCAATAGCTCAGCACTGCGAGCATCACACATTTCTGGTCTTTGACCAAGTATCCATGAAGCAAATACGGGACCTTAGGGAAAGGCCTCAGGCAGGCTGGCCCATGAGAAACCTAAGGCAGGGACTACTCTTGGTCAAACAGCCAGCCCTATGTGTGTGACACGCATTACCTTTTTTTTTTTGAGACAGTCTCACTTTTGTTGCCCAGGCTGGAGTGCAGTGGCTCGGTCTCGGCTCACTGCAACCTCCGCCTCCCGGGTTCAAGCGATTTTCCTGCCTCAGCCTCCCGAGTAGTTGGGATTACAGGCACCCGCCACCATGCCCGGCTAATTTTGTTCTATTTCTAGTAGAGACAGGGCTTCACTATGTTGGCCAGGTTGGTCTTGAACTCCTGACCTCAAGTGATCCGCCCACCTCGGCCTCCCAAAGTGCTGGGATTACAGGCTTGAGCCACCGCTCCTGGCCCACATTACTCTTTTAGAAGCTGAATTGGCACATCCACCATCTCATCTGGCCTCACAGTAACCCCATGGTGGGGCAGGGATGAAATCACTGACTGCCCTCCACCCTCTGCAGATAAGGACACTGAGCCCCAGAAGGTGAACTACCTTGCGCAAGGTCCCAGGGAGCTGAGGCTGAACCACCCCCTGTTCTCTCAGTCGGCCAGTTTGGGACCGCTGTGGCTTGCCTGAGCTCTAGACGCCTCGGGCTCCTCTGCCAGCTTTTTCCAACCTGGTAAGATACAAGACCAGTCCTGATCCTTTGGTGGCTGTAGGGCCACAGGCAGCACTAACCTCTCCTTCTGCCCAGCCCTGTTTCTCCTCTCTAACCCTGGTCATAAACAGGGCTCCAGTCTAAGAGAAGGAAAGGGAACTACCATGTGGAGCACGCTCTGTACCTCTGTACGGCATCTCAAAACGCTCACAACAATCTTCTGTACTCTCAGCCTATTCTACAGGTCGGAAGACTTTACAGATGGGAGGCCAGGTAAGCTTTCCAATGCACACGAGCCAGGGGGTTGGGACCTAAATTACAGCCTAGACATTCTGACTTCACTTCTGGCTCCTTCCCTGCCTCCAGGTACCTCCGAGGAAGTGTCCAATAGCCTCATCCATGCCGTG